AAATAGCATCAGCAGTTCCTTGTCTTTCTCATGACATGTTTTCAAGACCCCTCAACATCTTGATCATCCTTCTTTTTATTCACAAAGGATAGCAGGTTAAAATTATTTAAATTATGGACCTCAATAAAATTATTGATATAATATTTTGTGTAACATACAGTACCCTTAAAAAATTAAGAACTTCAAAACCAAATGCCAGTATTTGGTGGTAGCAAATTAGCTCTTAGCACAGTGCCTGGTACATAGTAGGTGCTTAATACATGTTGATTGATTGATTGATTGATTGGTAAGAATGGTCTCTAGGCCACAATTATGTTATTATGCTGACTGATTCTACTTGTAGTTCTAGATTGGGCTGGTCTTATAGACTGAAGTCCAAGTTCCTTATGACTAAAACAATCTAGTAGTATGCAGAGCCCTTTAAATTTTAGCACTAAAAAGTACCTTTTTATATGATAGATACCTTGGTCTGTGATCTCATTAGTTTGGAAAGCCTATCCATAACATGTCTTCTGAAAGACAGAGCCAGTCCACCCAAGCTGTTGAGGGCTTCCTCCTGGATTTCTTAACTCTGCCTGGATGCGGGGGGAGCACTCAGGCTGTCCATCAGTTCCCCTTCACTCTTGACATATGACGAGCTCACCCCCTTCATCACCCCCTTGGTGATATCTTTTAGGCAGTTTCTTCCCTGGATATCTTTATGCCCCAGTCAGCTCACCCTCATCATGTTCTCTCTACCCCTCTTTGGTCGACCTTGAACTTTATTTCTTCAGTGACTCTGTTGGTCTCTGCTTTGCAGCCACATGGTACCATCGGAAGAATAATGGTGTTTTTAAAAAAATGGGTTTTTGTTTCGAGAGCTTGGAGTCATCAAAAGCAGTGGGCCGTTTGGAAACGGCCCACTCTCCTTGTGCTATTTCATCTTGGGCCCAGTTCAAGATGAAATGAGAGTTAATTTTATTCAACATCCTCCTGATCCTGAGGCATAAATCGGGGAGAGGTGTGCTTCCCAAGGGCGTTTGTCACTGTCAGAGACTAGTGAGCAGAGTCCCAGAAGAAAAGGAGTTCCATCTACATGAAAAGGTTCTCCAAAGCGTCTTCATTAAATAGTGCAAGCCCCAAACATCCAAGAACCTTGTAAAAGAGAGTTACAATCACTTTAAAATGTTCCAAAGGGATGCAGAGAATGCTCGTTTTCTAGACGTTGACAGGTAGTTGGACAGACTCCTGGAGCTGTCTCATCAGAATATTCATCTGGGAAGAGAACAGATCCCACACAGTTGAATACATGATCGATTTGCTGCTGAGAAATTCAGCGTAAATTGTATTTTTGTAAGTTAATTTTTAAAACAAATGAAAGGAATTTAATGTTTTAAAGTTATTCTTTTGTTCTATTCCATCGTCTAATAAAGTGAAGACTCTTTTGTCACCTTTGCAATTACCTCCTGAAGTCTTGATTTTTTAAAATTCACATTTTTATGTACTAGTTTTGCTTTCAGAACGAGACACGTGATGCTGAATTTGATAGATGGCATCTTGCTGTTCCACAATTTATAAACCAAGGAACTGATATGATATGTGATAGTCACTCTGCAGAATGTTTCAGCACCCTTAGCCAAAACGTGAGTTGGTAAATTTCTTTGATTTATATTTTTAATATCATGTTTATTCCGGTACATTTACTTCTCCATTCGTTCGATTACTGCTCACATGGAACCTTCATGTAGTCCACGCTGGGCCTTGCCTTCAGACAAGCCTTTGCCCGCCTCAGAAACGTCTTAGGCACGAGTTGGTGACTCACTGCCGAGCCACGGATCAGAATCCAAGGCCACAGTTTCCTCACCTCTCAAATGACAGCTCTCAGGTCACTTTCTAGACCGAGGGGCCTATTCTGATCAGCACCAGGAGGAGGCACCTTCCTAGCGCACACCTAAGGACCGCCTGGGGCCTCAACTGGCGGTGAGGCTATCACATCCATCAGGAAAAGTTTCTTCCTTGACAACACATTCTGTGCTACAAGCCCTGTCTAAACAGCATCTACCACTTCCTCTGCTTCTCCCCACAGCCGGTGCTGGATGGATGTATGACCTGGGGCTGGCTTATCGGTCAACAAATGACAAGTTCATGGAAAAAGTGTTATTTTCAGAAGCCCATCTTTACCATTTCAGCCACTTATTAAATATCTGGAAACTACAAATAATAATGTAGTGGATCTCGTTTCTATTCATTCATAATAAAGTGAATTTTTAAAATATCTGTAATTTCCTTGTTTTCCCCAAATAAATCTTTAGACTCACCGTGGTTTCAACATGCCATAGAACATTTGGTACCTACTATAACATTCTTCTCATAACAACCTTTGTGAATGGGTTTGTTAACACACAAACGGCTTCAAATTCACTTAGCTTTTTACTGTCACCCAGCTGGTATCTCAGATGGTTGAGGAGGTTCCCTGATCAGGGCCATGTGAATGAGCAAGCTCTCCCAACAGAGGGACCCAAGTCCATTGCTGATCTCTCTTTGCTTAGCTCTGGATTCTTCTTGTACACCTGCCTGCCAAAGTTGAAAATAACATGGGATCACTAGGGCTTTGCCGTTGAGTGCTGACCTGGTTGGGTGCCAGCCTTCCTCCCCTCCTCCTTCTTTCACCCCAGTGCCAAACTACCCATCCTTCCCCCCAAGGTTCGTAGGCTCACTGAGTTACAGTTGGAACCACTGTTAACAAACACTTCTACAGCCAAGATCTCTCAGTTTTACATTCCTTCCATTACTGGTGTTCAGTGGAATCTAGCTTTCTCCAGAAGACACTGTATCTCTTGGTACTCTCACCACTACCCGTGACACACAAGAGCAAGAGGAGTGAATGGAGCAAATCCAGGTCCCCAAAGAGATATCCATATCCACAATTGCTGCGGTGTCCGTGGCAAGCCCATCCCTTCCCCAGGGACATGTAGTCAAAGGCTTCATCCTTTATAGTTCGGTAAGGAATTGAAAAACATGCGGGCCTCATGGGAAGAGTATGAGATCTCAGTTCAAATCCTGCCAGTACCACTTATTATCTCTACATTATGATCTTTTAAGCACTTTGAGTTTACCGAGTCTGTCCTCTCCTCCAGTTAAAAATTGGTAGTCTCTGCAAATCACTAATGGGTACATGGCCCACATCTCCAATTGTGGATATGGATATCTCTTTGGGGACCTGGATTTGCTCCGTGATCGTCAGGCAGCTTACTTAATGTGGTAGTCGCTCTTTCCATAGGCCCCTAGGTGGCACAGTGGATAATGATGGGCTTGGAGTCGGGAAGACCTGCGTTGAAATTCTTGCCTTAGACATTGACTCCCTGTGTAACCTTTCCTCATCTGTAAATGAAACTCCATCTCCTGGCTCTGGGTAGTTTCTCTGGCTGTCCCCGTGCCTCGAATACACATCCTCCTCATCTCTGCCTCCTGGATTCCCTGGCTTCCTTCAAGTCCCAGCTAAAAATCTCACCTTCTGAAAGAAGCCTTCCCCAGTCCTCCTTGATCTTAGCCCTCTTCCTAGGGACAGCTAGGTGGCCCAGTGGGTAGAGCACGGCCCTGGAGTCAGGAGAACCTGAGTTCAAATCTAGCCTCAGACATTTGATACTTATTAGTTATGTGACCCTAGGCAAGTCACTTAACCCCAACAAAAAAAAAAAAATCCTTTGAGATGACCCATAATTTATCCTGTTGTGAAAAATGATTTCTCTTGGTAATCTATGTTTTGGAGACTCCACCTTGCCAGCCTTTGGTTCAAAGTTGTTCAGAAGGACATCTCTGATAACGAAATTGCATTGAATCTTCCTATCTTGGTCAAACCCAACCCAAACTTGAATTGATTTTATCCTACTCAGGCTTGGGTGGAGATTGATACTACAGTCCAGATAGATGAAGGCTGGGAGTGGTCTGGAATGATGGTGGGTGGATATGAGACCCTGCCGAAAGGGGTATGTAACACTGTACCCCAAAGTCCCAAACCAAGCCAGTTCTGAAACCTGCCCCCTTAGGGGGGCCCAGTTTTGGACTGAACTCCCACGCAGTGGGTGTCAAGCCAGCTTGAGAGAAATTAAATCATGGACACATGCACCCTAATTTCATTTGTTTCCTTCTTAGAATAATTAAACTGGGGTTCGTGGGGTTTGGAGTTCACACTGTCTTTATCTTGTTTGTAGGTAATAGTTGTGTCCCCTGTTAGACTGGGAGCTCCCTGAGGGCAGGAACAGGCTTTTGCCCTTCTCCGTATCTCCTGAGCTTAGCACAGTGCCTGGCACATAGTAGGCACTTAATAAATGCTTGTTGCCTTGATCTGACTGTGATAGCACCTGCCTTATCGCTTGTTTGGAGGATCAAATAAGAAAACACCTGCAAATGTGGCTTTGCGCATTTTAAAGTGCCGTATAAATGCTACCCGTTATTTTATTATTATTTCCTGAACACTTTCTCCCAGTGTTTTCTCCTCCCCTCAAGGAGTTCAGGGCAGTGAGTTGTCCTCTCCGGGTAAGTTACAGCACTTCTTTCTGTTTTTCAGACGATGAGGAGGAGGTTACGCCAAGTGACTTCTAAAGGTTCTTAAGGGGCCTTGCAGCTTTCCCATTCACAGAGTCTGGAGTCAGGACCTGGTCTTTCGGGGTGGTTAGTTCCTGATCTTTGAGAAGACATAGTTAGGAAAGGACTCCAGGTGAAATCAGTATTTGCTTAATTGCAGAAGAAACCCATAAGGATCAGAGGCAAGTCCTTTGTATTCCGGGGCATCCCCTCCCCCTCAATCCTAACACACCTTGTGGGCTAGCTTTTTCCCTTCTCACCACTGGCTTTAGGTCACTAAACCCGCGTTCAGTCCTGTACTGTTTCTGACTTTGGGAAAAGAATGCTGTACAGCCCAGTCTGCTGGTCCTCCCCAACCAACAGGAGAAAGAGCAGGGTGGTGCTGAGGCAGCCACACCCTCCAGGAGGCGGGGCTACGGGTCTCTTCTGAACAGGTTTCAGAGCAGCGAGGTCCTGGAGGCTTTAGTTTAGGGAGGCATTATGGAAAAATCCCCCAAGCTTGCTCAGCAGATCTGAAATGAGCATTTATTAAAGTCGGCTTTCTCCCAGGAGGGTCATCTTCGGATCCCCAGCATGTGACTGGAAGCCCAGACTGAACCTTCGTTCCTCTGCAGCCTGAAGGATTCCTGTAGGGGCTTCTGTACTCTGTAAGTCTGGAGGCATGTACTGTTCTCTTACAGGATCCTGGGCTGCCCTCATGCCCTCAGATCTACTTAGCTCTGAAATTGGGTCCCTTAATTCTGTAGAGCCAGAATGAGGGGCAGTGTCTGGGCATTCAGGATTTCTTCTGTTTGTGAGTGGATCTGTTGATTTCTCCAGCTTGATTTAACTCACTCTGTCTGCTGTTAATTTCAGGATGAATGAATGATGCAATCCTCTGTGGAAGAGCCATCAGCCCACTATGGGGTGTAAAATCTCTAGAGTTTGGTGCTAACACTCTGGGACCCTCTCCTTCCACCCTATTAGCATTTTAAAATATTTCTGTCCATTGCATCCATTGGTACAAAAATTCACCTGAGGGGAGTTGAACATTCATTCATTCAATGGATATTATTCTCTCTTTTTTTTTCTTATGTCTGGGGCAGGATTGTGGATTGATTAATGTTATATAAGGATCAAAGAAGAAATTAGATCAACACTTTGTGTGCTTATTACAATTCCTGGGTATGTTTTCATTGTGATAACAGGGAGAAGCTCACAGGAGAAAGAAGGCTAACTGTGGAGTCAGTAAGACCCGAGTTTAGGCTCTGCCTCTGACAGAAATTAGTGGTGTGACTGCAAACGAGTCACTTAATCTCCCTAATGCTGTAGATTGTAGGTATGGACCAAAAATAATAACAAAGAGTGTGGTCCTGTACAGTTCAAAGCCATCAGGCAAACTGAGACACAGAAAGGCACTGGGGATGGGGGGGATGGGGTCTTGTCGTCTGAAAGACTTAGCTTCAGATTCTTCCTTTGGTACTAGCCATTGTGAATGACTGGAAAAAGTCACTTAAAGTCACTTTTTATAATGCCCATTTTCTTGTCTGCAAAGTGGTTACTCTCAGCCATGAATTTATAAACCTGTCTGTGAACTAGGGAAAAACAGAAAGGGTGTTTGTTGGGGGTTGAGTGTTTCATCAATGCCTTGGGAGCATCTGGAAAACTTCTGGGCGGTTAAGCTGGGGTTGGGTAACACCTGGGGCATTGCTTTGTATTCTTCTCTTGGCAGCTCCAAGATCGCTAAAGCTCCCAGTTAAATATAATACTCACTCTAGCTAAAAATTGACAGTGCCCAAGGAATAAAAATACAAGCACAAAACAGTCTCTGCCCTCAAGGAGTTTGCATTCTCTTGCCCGGTTCTTGACCCAGGAAGCTTTTCAAAGGACTACCCCAGTAATTCAGAGGGTTCTATTCCTCAATTCAGAAAAATTCAAACATTATGTTTCTCCCCCACCCCCACCCCACTGGGTATGCTTTCAAAATAAATGCTCAAGAGTGAAAAAAAAAACAAAACAAAACAAACCCACCAGGAGTGCTTAGGTTTTCTGATTTGTAGTTTTCAGCCATTTCTGTTATAGCACACTCACCTCTGGCCTATTCCTGGAAACTGCTGATGCCGCTTTTTGAAGCAGCTACTGGATTATACAATCAATTACTCAATCAGTAAGCATTTATTATACCATTACTATGGGGTCTACCCTCCCGAGCCCGTCTCCTTTAAAGTCACCTCTTCGATGATTAGTTGCAGCTTGGGGAATGCCCTCCACCGAAGCAGATCCCAAAGCAGACCTGTGACTGAATAGATAAATCCTAAGTTTTTGCCTCAGCCACAGAGAGATCAAGTTACCTGCCTCACTTCACAGAAATGAGCATCGGGTAGGATTGGAACTCAGGTCTTCCTTACTCCAAGTTTGGCCGTTGATAATAATGTAGCGAGCATTCACATAACATTTTAAATTTTACGCACTGCTTCACAAATATCTCATTTGATCCTAAGAACAGTTCTGGGAGATAGGTACTGATATTTGCAGGTTTTCAGAGCTCCAAGCCCAGCGCATACAGGGAAGGTTTCCTGCTCAGCCCAAAGGAAGGAAGGGCAGGATTGTAGGCATGGAGGTGTCCCTTTCGATGTGCCTTGTTTTCTTACAGATGAGTATCATTTATCAGGCTGAGCCTCCATCCCTCTCCATCTTGCCTCAGTAAAGATAAACTAGTGAAGGTGGAAGGCATCGTTATAGAGTGGGCACAGTCGGACCTGGGCTGGAACCCCGTGTCTGTGATCAGTAGATAGCTTACCTTGGAGTCAGGAAAACCTTACAGGAACACACATCAGCTGCGGGACCCTAGGCAAGTCCCTTAATCTGTCAGTGTTCGCAGGCAGAGAAGTCAAGTAGAAGGAGCCCTGGGTTTGGAGTAGAAGGTCCTGGATTAGAATACTGACTGTCATCGGTGTGACATTGGGCAAATTGCCTAGGCTCCATAGACGTCCTTTTTCCTATCTGTAAAATGGGGGAGTTGGAGTAGTTGACCTTCAAGGTCCTTTCCAGCTCTAAACCCGTGACCCTATCTTCCTGAACTATGGGGTGAGTTGCCTGTCTGCATTGTGGAGGGAATTTCTATACTGGAAGTTCCTTAAACTGATGAAATCACAGATTCTGACCGACCTTCTCCCCTGAGCTACCTATAATAGCTGCGTCACAGGGTTATTAAGAGGACCACATGATAATTCCTTTGTAAACCTGGAAGCCTTTTGGAAATGTCAGTTATTATTGTTGTTATTCTGTAAGATTCCATGCATGTGGGCATAGGTCTTCTACTCACCTGTCAATGATGCTTTCTGAAGCCCCTTCAAGCTCTAAATTCTGTGATCTTCTCCTACTCTGATGCTTTATCTTGACATAAAAGCTACCTGGAGTTCTCAAAAGCTATGCCAGCATTGCGTAACTGTGGGTAAGTTCTACTAAGCTGGCAGAAAGGCTTTGAGTATGGGCCCAGCATCTGACCAGTCTGGCTCAAATTTAGAGAGTCCTATCACCCGAGGGTTGGCCAACCAGTCCATGAATATTTTGGCCATGGCAACTCATGGGCCCCTCTACTAAGGTGTGGAGGGTTTATGGTCTACACCATACCCTCACCTCCCTTCTCTTTCTACATGAGGTTCCTCCCCTGAGACTTCTAGATATTCAGAGAGCCAGAGTCCATTCTAACTGTATAATTTTCCACTCCCCATGTCCCTCAAAGTGGATCTTAACCATTGACCTGGGTTGTCCCCTTTCTTCTACAGAGCATAATCTTACTGTCCCCTACTCCACCCTCACCTTAAAGTACTGATGTATGAGAGGGGTTCTCTGGGCTTAGAAAGTTGTACTTGATTGTTGGGTTGTCTTCCTTTGTCTTTTTTTTTCCTTGTCTTTTCTTTCTTTTTCTCTTTCACTCCTCTCAACTTTTCCTTTCCCCCCTCTCTCCCCCTTTCCCTTTTCCTCTCTCCACCTCCCTTTCTTCCCCTCTTTCCCTTTTCTTCTCTCCCTCTCTGT